CTGACCAGACGATTCTCTCCGTCCACACGAGGACGGTGACGCACAATGCGCGCATCTCGGTCTCGTACGAGTCGAGCGGTTGTTCCGGGCCCGGAGCCGCGGGCGGAAGCGCGTTCGGGGTGACAGGAAGCAGCCAAGCCGCGGAGGAAGTGGTGAACGGCACGTGGCGGCTCCACATTCGCCAGTTGAAGGAGTCGGACAGAGACTGTTACATGTGTCAGATTAACACCAGCCCTATGATATCCGAGTTAGGGTGTTTGGACATTCTTGGTGAGTCTCAAGCATGCTGCGTTTTTTATTTTCTTCCGGATCGATCGATATTTTTCACAAGTTTTTTAAGAATTATTTAATAAGTTTTTCATTTCATATATTAATTCAGATAGAAATATAATCCATTTAAGAATTGAGAATTTTAGAATTGAGCTTGGATCGCGAATCGATCGGTTTTATTTTTTTACAAATTTTTCTATTTTTTAGAGCTGATTAAGTGAAATGTATTTATTGTATTTTTTTCTGTGGACGTTGAATCGATCGATTTTACTTTTTAACAAATTTTCCAATTTTGGTTTTTAGAGGTCGTTAAGTGTATTTATTGTATTTTTTGGATATTTTTGGATAAATTTTCTAATTTTAAATTTTTCAAAAAATTGGTTTTTAGGGGTGATTAAGTGTATTTATTGTATTTTTTTTTTTCACGTAAATCTTGAATCGATCGATTTTATTTTTTTACAAATTTTTCTATTTTTTAGAGCTGATCAAGTGTATTTATTGTATTTTTTTCACGTAGATCTCGAATCGATCGATTCAAGATTTACGTGAAATTAGGATTTACGTTAGAATTACGTGAATTTATTTTTCAACAAATTTTCCAATTTTGGTTTTTAGGAGTGCATTTATTGTATTATTTCGTGTGGATAAATTTTTCAATTTTTAGGCGTGATTAAGTGTATTTATTGTATTTTTTTTTCATGTGGACATTGAATCGATCGATTTTACTTTTTAACAAATTTTTTAATTTTGGTTTTTAAAAATGATTAAATTTATTGTATTTTTTTTCATGTAGATCTGAATCGATCGATTTTACTTTTCAACAAATTTTTCAATTTTGGTTTTTAGAGGTCGTTAAGTGTATTTATTGTATTTTTTGGATATGTGGATAAATTTTCTAATTTTAAATTTTTCAAAAAATTGGTTTTTAGTGTGGTGATTAAGTGTATTTTTTTTTCACGTAAATCTTGAATCGATTTTATTTTTTATATAAATTTTTCTATTTTGGTTTTTAGGGATGATAAAATGTATTTATTGTATTTTTTTCACGTAGATCTCGAATCGATCGATTTTATTTTTCAACAAATTTTCCAATTTTGGTTTTTAGAAGTGCATTTATTGTATTTTTTCGTGTGGATAAATTTTTCAATTTTTAGGCGTGATTATGTGTATTTATTGTATTTTTTTTTCATGTGGACATTGAATCGATCGATTTTACTTTTTAACAAATTTTTTAATTTTGGTTTTTAGAAGTGGTTAGGTGTATTTATTGTATTTTTTTCGCGTGGACGTTGAATCGATCGATTTTATTATCTATAAATTTTCCAATTTTAGTTTTAAATATTGGAGGTGGTTTAAATGCATTTATTTATATATTAAAAATTTTCCAATTTGAAAAATCGATGAAATGGTACATTTGTTACATTTATTTCTGTCATTTAGAGACTTCAATGGATTTTATTTTTTTATAAATTTTTCTCTTTTTGGATACAAAAATATAATATTGATGGGATGGTTGAGTGCATCCATTTGTGTCATTTAGAATCGTCGAATCGAATCGAATTTATTTCTTACGAATTTTTCAATTTTCCTAACTAAAATTTTAAACTTTCAATAATACAATTTTTAATCCTATTCTTTCTACAATAATACAAACACACACACACACGCACACAAAATAAAAAAGCACAATATATATACACATCCTAATCAAAAACAAATCTCCTTTAACTCTTTTATAAATTTTCAATTCATGATTCTCCTTAATCACGAGAAAAGCGAAAACTGGCAACTAATGAATCCTAATTAGAAAAAGAAATCTACAAAGAGGGGTTTCACTCGGAATGCAAAAGAGATATAACACCCCTCCCTGCAACTAAATAAGAATGCTAATTACAATTTATATTCCTTATTCCTTACGCCCCTCCAGAGTGCCATCCATTAACTATCTCGTAATAAATATCTCATCCAAACGAACCCTTTTTTAAAAAAATAAAAAGATCCATCCATCGATCTATCTATGGATCTATCACTCCCACTTTTACAAGTGTTAAAAATCCTCGAAATTTTCACTGCGTGAAAATATCTTCCGCTTCGACCGACACCCCCCCTCCCCCCTCTCACAAAGAGGAGAGAAATTCGAAATTCGAAAAGGGAAGAGGAAAAAAAAAAAAAAAAAAAGAGAGAAAAAAAAGAAAGAAAGAAAGAAAGAATTCGCTGAATTTCACGGTTACAAACCGTGGGGATGGGAAAGAATTCGAATAATCCAACTGAAACGAGATTAATGACGTTAATTTCAAGACTTCGGCGTCCGCGTTTTCGATCGGTATGACGAAGCGATCCGAAAAATTTCCCCCGCCATTCGATGCGCGGCGGACGACGATCGGGCAGCTTAAGCTCAAAATGGTGCGAATTATAATACGTGTACGAATGAAATATACGAGTGGCGATTAAGCCACTCTCTGGAATCTACCGTGTTACTTATAACGTAAATGACGTAGGGTTAATATGGTAATCGAACGTTTAATCTTTTCGTTCGAGCGCCATTTGTGGGTTTTAAAACCGTGCAATTTTATTAATCTTTTTTAGAAAAAAAGAAAGAGAATCCAACATTTCCAACATTTTCAACGTTTTTCGTTTTCGTTTTTTTTTTTTTTTTTTTTTTTTAATATGATTTAGTTTAAGATTCAGTTTAACAATAAGTTTGATAATAATTTTATTAAATAAGGGATGAGTATATGATAAGGGATAAGTACAGTGTACAGTGTGTGTGAGAAATTGATTTTACACGGAATTTTCGGTGTTTGGTAATTTGTATAGAATTTGTTTTTAAGTTTGGTTATGATGGTATTATAATAGAAAAAAAAAAAAAATAAAAATAAGGAGGTATCAGATAATATGAAATTTGCAAATTTGAATTTCTTCTTTGGATTTTAAATTTTATTAAAAACACGAAAATTATTGAAAATTGAGAGTGGTTGTAATTTTTTTTTTTTTTATTAATAGACGTTTATGTAGCAGGAAGGATATTGGGATATAATTATACACCGATTGATATATATATATAAAATTCCTTGGAATTCAATCGAGTTGATTCAATATTTAATTTCCAAAGATCCACGAATGGCGAATCAGTTCGAGAATAAAGTTCTAAAAATATTCGAAATCCGTCAATCCACTCTCGCAGAGTGTGATAAAATTTGCGACAATTTTAAAAGTAAAATTGTACCACGTTATCCAATTTCGTTCTAATTCATGCATACGAAACATCGTATTTTAAATAAAGCAATAAAGTATTACAAGGCAGAGTGAATGAGATTAAGAAAGAGATTAGAAATTTTAAAAAAAAGAAAAAATAAATCGTCGATATTTTCGCCGATAAAATTTACGACGAGGTAACTTTTAAAATTGTACAATGCCTTTCAATTTCGCACCAGAAATCCATGAAATCACATAGATGTCGTTCTAAGGCAATGTCGATATTACGAAGATATTAAATCGTTAGATCGGCAAAAAATCGTACTGCAAAAAGAATTCGAGTTAACTCTGATTAATTTTATCATTGAAACGTCAAATCGTTTTATCGATATATTTTTGAATGGATTTAAAACCGTATAAAAGTTTCGCCTCGTTTAAAAATAATTAGACTCTATCGTTTTACCAACGTTCAAACTTCGCGCCAATTTACCATCGCTATTCAAATTCAATATGGCGGAAAAACGAATCCACGTGCCCGCTATAACACGCATCGGTTGAATTTATTTTCCTGTGAAATCTCGACGGCCACACTTTCTTTCTTCGTTCTCGATATATAATTCAATATAACCGACATAACAAACCTTTTTTACAACGGCACAGAGGAAAAGCGATATTCGCGCAACATGTCGAACAATCGTATTTCACTTCGACAATACATCGATCCTCTCAAGAATCAATGATAGAAAAATATGGTTCGCGTAACGCGCTTGGACGGCACAAAGAAAATACGAAAATATGGTGTGCGATATACGTGTGTATAAATTATACGTGCATATCGTATTACTTTACTCCATTATAAATTGATTCGTGCAAATAAAATAACGGATGATCAAATTATTGTGAAAATACGATTTTTATATTAAAAAAAAAAAAAAATGTAAATAAATTGTTGAAACGTAAAAAAAAAAAAAAAAAGAAAAAAAAAGTAACTACGTGCTTTCAATTAAATTGATTTCTGTTATAATATACCAATTCCAATTTACATTTAATGATTATACGCGAATAATAATAATTTTTTCACAATATATTATTATTCTAGATTTCAAATAACAATAAAGTTTATTCAACTTCACAATTATATAGTTTCAATAAATTTTCCTTTTTACAATTTGATCATCCGCGCTATATCACAGGGATTGTTCGTGTATATATAACTCGATATAACTTAATTAGTTGAAACAAATAAACGGATAAAAAAAAAAAAAAAAATAATCGAATAAAATTTTTTAACTCGGTCCGTAACGATTCTCTCCGATACGAGGAAAGTTCAAGCTTCTTGCCCGAGCTTCGAGAGGAATATTTCTTTTTGGCTTGCGAGGAGCGAAGAAAAGGAAAGAAGAAAAGAAGAAAAAAGGAAGAAGGGAGAAGGAAAAGCCGGAGTGTCACCGGGCCCCTCGCCAATGAATCGATCCGCCTATTTGTCCGTCTTTGCGCAACTCTAGCCTCAAAGCGATACAAATTGCGCGCACCTCGTTTACTTACTGATGGTAACAAGGAAAGTTTCCAGCGACTCGGTTATTCGAAAAATGATGAAACTTTGGTGATACGTGGTGGAAAGTCGTGGTGGAACGTCAAAGCGTACTCGTGATGGAATCGGGAAGAAGAAGGTCGGTCTCCACATACGGAATATCGATTTAATAAACTGGAAATAGTCTCGGGATATCCGCAATTATCGTGCAATTATCATTAACCTAACCTAACTTTTCGTCGTACATGATATTTAAATAGAAAAACAGAAATTGACAGTTTAATGTTTTTAATCATTAGATCGCGAGTATTTATGGAAAAAATAAAATTTCTACGAATTTGTGGGTAAAAAAAAAAGTAGAGAATTTTGAGAATTTTTTAATTATTGTATATTGCACTTCGAATATTTTTTTCTCTTTTTGCAGAAAATAATAAATGGTTGAACTGCTAAAAATTAGTAATTCGTTAGATCGCGAATGTTTATGGAAAAAATAAAATTTATGCGAATTTGTGGTTAAGAAAAAATGAAGAATTTTGAGAATTTTTCAATTATCGTATATTCGAAATATTTTTCTTTTTTTTTAAATAATAGATGGTTGAATTGCTAAGAATTAATGATTCGTGTATAGATCGCGAGTGTTTATGGAGAAAGAAAATTTTGTACGAATTTATGGTTAAAAAAAAAAATGAAATTTTGATTATCGCAATGCATATTGCACTTTAATATTTTTCTGTAGAAAATAATAGATGGTCGAACTGTTAAGAATTAATAAATATGATTTATAAGTACAATTTCATAAATTTAAGCATGTTGGATAAGAAGATCAATTTGATAAAGTTGTTTCGATTATATCCGCGTAGAAAGAAACGAGTTTTTCCATAGAAATACACGTTTACAGTTCTGATTCCAATTCGATAACCAGAATAAGTTGCGAACGGGGTCGCGAAATTATTCCAAGTACGATAATAATATTTTTCTTTCTTTTTTCTTTTTTCTCTTTCTCTATCGCAAATAATTGGCCATAATTGAACACAAACCTCCCCCTCCCTCCCTTGTGATTAAAACGATTCAAATAACAAGAAGAATTAATTTTAATCTTCTTTAACGAGTGGAATT